AGAGATAAGATAATACTTTAAAGATCTGTCCATGATATGCTGATCTCCCAGTTTTCACAGCATACAATTCTAGAAGTATAAGAGTTGTTTCACTATCATTAAATTTTTTTTTATACATACATGGTTTTGTGCTGACAGATACAGACATACATCCATGTGTTTTGTTAGTGTGTTTGTATATTTTTTGTTCTTTTATTTAACCATGTTTATATATATATATATATATATATATATACATACGTATGTGTATATATGCGTATATATATCATTACCCACCATTTCCTAATCTATATCTCTGATGGACACATAAAGGCACACTTATAACTTCTCAAACACACAAAGCATATGCTTACATACAAAGATGTATGGATTCATTTATGTATAGGCATAAGTATAATGACAGGGATGTATATAAATAGAATACATATGTGTATGTATAAAATATATATGTACACACACATTTCTATGTCTATATAATATATATGTATGTTGTGCATGTATACAAATATATACATACACACACATATATATATATATATATATATATATATATATGTGTGTGTGTGTGTGTGTGTGTGTGTACATATTTATATATATACGTATATATATACACAAACACCCGTATGTACGTGGCTATATTTGAACGCATATATCTTTTCAATTACATTTTCTCTTTCTTATTAAGGCTAGTATATATTTTAATGGACGCGTCGAATTTACTTCGGTATTGTACTTTTTGGCATCTGTTTAAGGGCATTTCATCCAAGCGTTGTATGTACAGTATATATATTTTGTTCGTATTTCCATACTTGAAAAGAGATTGTTTACTAGAATATTGAACAGGTGTTTTCAGCATGGTTTCATTTGTAAAAGAAAAAAAAACATAGGTTACTATTATATTCGTGGGTCAGATGCTGGGAGTTTTTATTCTAACTTAGTAATAAGGGATTGAGAACAATACTAATTTTAGTAAAAAACATAATATTGGTTCCTTAGGCAGACTCGGTCTTCTCAGAGGCCTCAGTAGTAGCCGTAGATCCAGCGTCAGAACCTCCATCTCGGCCATCTGTAGCACAGGCAAGACAAGGCAGCTTCTTCTCAAGGGCAGCTCTGTACTTGGGGTGGCTGATGGCGTACACGATGGGGTTGTAGACGGCGTTGGCCTTGGCGAAGACGGAGCCCCAGATGGAGAAAAGAGGAGTGACAATAGGTTTGTTGAACATGCCTCCCCAGTTGATGACGAAGTAGGGGGTCCATGCTACGAACCACAGAGTAACGGTCATGAGAGCAACCTTGCACAAACGGCACTCAGCAGAAGTCTTCTGAGCTTCCTCACTCCTCAAGGACTTGACTCCCATCTTCTTGGCTTGTTCTCGCATTCCCTTCTCGTGAGCAGCGACAGCCTTGACGATGAAAGTGTAGCTGTAGATGATGTATGCAAGAGGGAAAAGATATACCCATACAGAGTAGACGTACAGATAGCTCCTGGAGAGTTCAGTCTCTGTCAGGTAGTCAGTACCACATGCAAGCATGTTACCCTCAGGCACATAACGGTTCCATCCGAAGAAAGGAGGAAGGCACCAAGCAAGAGTGAAAAGCCAAGTGCCAGCAATCCTCATCATAGCACCACCAGATGTGAGAGGTTCAGCAGATACTCCCTTGACGATGACGTTGTATCGGTCAGCAGTGATGAAGACCATGGACCAGATAGACACGCAGCCGAAGAAAGAACCGAAGAAGGCATAGATCTCACAGAAGAATGCTCCGAGAACCCACGTTCCCCAATAAGCATTAACCAGAAGAGGAGGAGTCATGGTGACCATCATAAAGAAGTCGGAGATGGCTAAGTTGACAACTAAAAGATTTGCAGGTGTTCGCAGACTCTTGGTATTCATGAATACCCAGATGACAACAAAGTTACCAGCTACAGATAATGTTCCCATAACAGTCATCCAGAAGCCGAGAAGACCATACCAGAGAGGATTCATGGGAGGGAATTGATACCAGTGAGAATGTACCATATGGAGCATACTTTCTGGCACCGTATCTACCACTGTATAGTTCCCATAAGGATTGGTGGATGGAAGGACAGTGTCCTGGACTGGACTATTCCACGTAGACATCTGCAATGAAGATTATGAGTTGGCCATCGCAATATGATATTTGTCAATACAATCTTTAAAGTACACAAGAAATAGAAAAAATCTAAAGATTGACTGATATGCATATATACAATAAGAAGCACATAAAAAGTAAAAAAAAGAAAAAAAATATGGTACATGTATTTCTGATGAAGATATAATCGAAACTGGTCAAATACATCACTTGTATTGTGAAGTCATTCTCATTGATACCTTTTCTACAAGTATTTGAATGCGTTTCCCAATTCTGACGAATTAGATTTTTCACAAGCATATTCGGTCAGAAAAAAAGTCCAGAAATTACCTTTACGGCAAAAGATTTTTCCACCGAAGAAATTTCGGAGTCGAACTACTTCGGCGAAGCACCACCTCTCTGGCTGAGTCCCGCAAGGTAACTGGGAGTGCAGGTTCACATGCGCTTCTTATATAGTCATGAGAAGCTTTGTTCTTGCATTATAAGATTGTCGACTTCCTCGTCTTCCAATACATACATACAGACATACATTTTTGTGTTTGACTGAACTATAACACTTCAACTATATCTTCCCGAGGCTCTGTCCTTCTTTCTGTTTCCTATGCTCTGATATTAAGAATATCGAAACCTGGAAAGTGAAAAGTAATTATTCAGATGACTTTTATGCCAGCACTAGTTAGAATCAGTCGAAAACTTATATAAGGATACAGGCGTCTGTTTCTTTATTACTTTTCTGTAAGTTCAAAATATACGTGTCTGTATTTCCTTTAATACCTCGATGTAAGCTAATTCAATTTACATCCGCATAATTATATATCGGACCTCATACGTTTATAAGAAAAAATAATACTTGATCTCTTGGAGAAAAAAAAAATATAAGCAAGTCACTTAATATAAACTTTTGACCCGAATCTCCAGTGAATATTACTTAAATATACTTAATGTAATAATTAAAGGTTCGTAAACTTGAAGATGTGTAAGTACCATTTCGGTCATCAAAATTTCTACTACGGACATATATATGAAAGGCAGACAACATTAAGATTTATCAAAAGGGAGATTAGGACATGTTTTGATAATGTAGGGGGTTTCAAAATCTGTATATTTTGAATATATTCAAGTGAACTATCTAATTTTGTTGGTGCCTTTATCCTTTCAATTTCATTGCATTCACTATTGATTTAAGGATGACCAGTGAGTGGTGAACAAAAATCAGATTTGCCAAATGTTATGACTATATTCATCGGTTGCGATTTCTCCCATTCTACAGAATCGAATCGAAAGAAATAAGATAAAAAACCTGTCCATTGTAATAGAAACACTTCATGCTGATCTACCAATCTGCACTACGTGTAATTCTAAATGTATAAGAGTTGTTTCACTATCATTAAAATTTTCTTTATTATACTTACATGGCTTTGTATTGACAAATACACACATACATATATGTGTTTTGTTAGTATTTGTTTGTGTTTGTGTGTTCTTTTATTCAACTATATTTATGTTTGTGTATAAATACATTATTACACACTTCCTCAATATATCTATATATATGAATATAATATATATATATACATATATACATGTATATACACACATATATATACATACAAATATATACATATATATATATATATATATATATATATATATATATATATATATATATATATATATAATTGACATATAGAGACATATTCATATAACATACCACACTCACGCAAACAAAGACACTCTTACATACACATATGTATAAATTTATTTTGGTATACACAAAAGTATAATGACAAGGATGTATATAAATAGAATACACACATTCATATATATATATGTATACGTACACAACATATATATGTATTTATATGCATATACATATACGTGTATGTATGTATGTATTTATATTTAATATATGTATATATAAATATATACATACATATAAACATATAGAAATATAAACACACACCTATATGACTATATATGGATGCTTGTATATTATTTTTGTATTTGTATCTTTTTCTTTATATTTTTTATATATTTTTTCTTTCTTAATAAGTCTTGTATATATTATAACGGATTTGTTAAATTTGTAAGTATTGTACTTTTTCGCATGTTTTGAAAGCATTTCATCCATGCACTATATGTACTGTGTATATATTTTACCAATTTCCTTTTTCCTTTGTTTGTTTTTTTTGTTTTTTTTTTTTACTTGAAAAGAGATTGTTTACTAAAACATTGAACAAGTGATTTCAACATGGTTTCTTTTATTAAAGAAAGAAAGAAAAAATGTAACTACTAAAGTCGATTGCCAGATGCTGGGAATTTTTATTCTCAGTAATATGAGATTTAGAACAAGACTCTGATTTTAGTATAAAAAAAAAACTTAGGCAGACTCGGTCTTCTCAGAGGCCTCAGCAGTAGCAGTGGATCTGGCGTCAGAACTTCCATTTCGGCCCTCTGAAGCACAAGCAAGGCAAGGCAGCTTCTTCCCAAGGGCATATTTCTCTTTCTACGAAATGCATTACAGGATTATTCCATTATACACTACATATTTTTTCATGTGTATGTGGATTTTGCGCACTTTTCTTCCTAAACAAATTAGAATGCACTTTAATAGATATATAGCAGTGTGTTTATATTTTTCTTTTCATTATTATTGAGTCGTATATATATATTTTTTTACCGATGTTTTTTTTTATACAAATAAATGAAATACTTTCTTCTCATTTCTGGATCTTTAATATTATTACGAGGATTTTATACTCAAGTGCTGGATGCTGGGAGTTTTTATTTTAAGTAATTAACAAGGGATTTGGGACAAGAGTTTGTCTCTTTCCGCTGATATCTTTTGAAAACCTTTGTATCAGAAACATACTGGTATGAGTTCCTTAGGCAGACTCGGACTTCTCAGTACTCTGAGCAGTGGCATTGGAAGCAGTATCAGAACCTCCGTCTCGGCCATCAGTAGCACAAGCAAGGCAAGGCAGCTTCTTCTCAAGGGCAGCACGGTACTTGGGGTGGCTGATAGCGTACACGATGGGGTTGTAAACGGCGTTGGCCTTGGCGAAGACGGAGCCCCAGATGGAGAAAAGAGGAGTGACAATGGGTTTGTTGAACATGCCTCCCCAGTTGATGACGAAGTAGGGGGTCCATGCTACGAACCACAGAGTCACGGTCATGAGAGCAACCTTGCACAGACGGCATTCAGCAGAGGTCTTCTGAGCTTCCTCACTCCTCAAGGACTTGACTCCCATCTTCTTGGCTTGTTCTCGCATTCCCTTCTCGTGAGCAGCTACAGCCTTGACGATGAAAGTGTAGCTGTAGATGATGTAGGCAAGAGGGAAAAGATAGACCCATACAGAGTAGACATACAGATAGCTCCTGGAGAGTTCAGTCTCGGTCAAGTAGTCAGTACCACATGCAAGCATGTTACCCTCAGGCACATAACGGTTCCATCCGAAGAAGGGAGGAAGGCACCAGGCAAGAGTGAAAAGCCAAGTGCCAGCAATCCTCAACATGGCTCCACCAGATGTGAGAGGTTCAGCAGACACTCCCTTGACGATGACGTTATATCGGTCAGCAGTGATGAAGACCATGGACCAGATGGACACGCAGCCGAAGAATGAACCGAAGAAGGCATAGATCTCACAGAAGAATGCTCCGAGAACCCACGTTCCCCAATAAGCATTAACAAGAAGAGGAGGAGTCATGGTGACCATCATAAAGAAGTCGGAGATGGCCAAGTTGACAACTAAAAGGTTGGCAGGTGTTCGCAGACTCTTGGTATTCATGAATACCCAGATGACAACAAAGTTACCAGCTACAGACAATGTTCCCATGACAGTCATCCAGAAACCGAGAAGACCATACCAGAGAGGATTCATTGGAGGGAACTGATACCAGTGAGAATGTACCATATGGAGCATACTTTCTGGCACGGTATCTACCACTGTATAGTTCCCATATGGATTTGTGGATGGAAGGACAGTGTCCTGGACTGGACTATTCCACGACGACATCTGTAATGAATTTATGATATAGAGAACTGCGGAAATGTGTTTATACGGAATATAGACATTGGTAAATGGTTACATGAATGTGTATCCACAAAGACACACTAACAGACATGCATTTACCTTTATAAGATGTTTTCAACGAAACCGAAGAAATTTCACAAGTGAACTACTTCGGCGTGTGGCACCCTCTCTGGTTGAGTCCCGCAAGGCAACTGGGGTGCCGGTTTCTATGCAGCTCTTATATAGTCAGCTGAAGCTTTGCATTATAAGATTACCGACTTCCTGGTATTTGAATTAGTATCTGGGCAACCTTTAGCTTCGCACATTATACTATATCTGCCATTTTTATCTATATCAACTTTCACGTACATCTAAACATATTAATGTGCAGAGAGTGGGAGGATTAGGATTTTATGGTGTTAACACAGACGTACATGGTCGTCTACGGCTTATGGGACACATTTTCTTTTCAGGCTGATGATCCGGGTATGTGTAAAATTTATATTCACGTTTAACAAAAATAATATTTTAAAGTAATGAACGAGAAATATTCAACAAATGTATATAGTAATTAATCAACAAATCCACATTGTTCAGGCAAACCACATGCTATCGTAGGCATGAATACTCTAATTATCTAAAGATAAGATTATGCATTAAAACATGCAGTGTTTCAGATATAGTCTAATTCTCTGAAAACTACGGAATCCTACTATAAAATCTTGTTAGCCTCAACAAAGTCTGGCATTGACAAACCAGGGACATATGTAGATGCGTGTGTAGCGTATTGCAACCGGAAACAAATGGCGTAGAATGCACTCATTACCCCATATATGAGGTTAAGAGAGGATAAGATTCCTGGATAAGTAGTAGCTCTCTCACTGGGGCTGGGATAAACTCGGGGAAACTTACCACTTTATAATTTTTTCAAATATATTTGAAGCTAAAAATTTAGGGTGTGTCTCAAATATTCCTATTATTCTTTTAAAGGTGCCTCTCGCTCTTTACACACATGTACAAATACATATATAGATACATACATATACATGCACACATTTATGTATAGATATATAAATGCATGTATGTATATATATACATATATATATACATACACACACACACACACACACACACACACACACACACATATATATATATATATATATATATATATATATGTGTGTGTGTGTGTGTGTGTGTGTGTGTGTGTGTTAATATATAAACGTGCGTGTATGTATATATGCATGTATGTGCATATATGTTTGTGTATATATACATATATATGTGTATGTGTGTATTTATTTATTTTCTACATACGCATTTATCTTTCTTTTGACCCATTAACCAACAATGTAGAAAGTGTTCCTGAATACATGATCGTAAAAATGTTCCAGATATATTGTGTGCTACTTTGACATCTATTTATCAAAATACCAAACCTGCTTCACTATATGTCCATCATATTCAGTAATCGGTTTTATATAAATCAACAACTGAAATGCAGAACTTTTGTTACATGCACGCAAAGTTGATGGAAATAGGAGAAAATGGGAAATTTTTCATGTATCGGATCTGGCACAATTTTACGTGCCTTTTCGATAACATATAAATGTTTTGAAAAAATGTATCGTATGTCATTCTGGCCCGAAGGAAGTAGTTACAATGCAATTAAAATCATATGGATTGATGCTGGGAGGTTTTATTGTAACGAAAAAAGGGATTTTCGACATGTAATACGCTTTTCAGCGGATCTTACAATTGACATTACGAAAAGGAAAGAAACGAGTTAGGCAGACTCAGTCTTCTCAGTGCTCTGGGCAGTGGCAGTGGATCCAGCATCAGAGCCACCATCATCTCTACCCTCAGTGTTACAGGCGAGACAGGGTAGCTTCTTCTCAAGGGCAGCACGGTACTTAGGATGGCTGATAGCGTACACGATGGGGTTGTAGACGGCGTTGGCCTTGGCGAAGACGGAACCCCAGATGGAGAAAAGAGGTGTAACCATGGACCTGTTGAACATTCCTCCCCAGTTGATGATGAAGTATGGGGTCCATGCCACGAACCACAGGGTGACGGTCATGAGAGCAACCTTGCACAGACGGCACTCAGCAGAAGTCTTCTGAGCTTCCTCACTCCTCAGGGACTTGACCCCCATCTTCTTGGCTTGTTCTCGCATTCCCTTCTCGTGAGCAGCAACGGCCTTAACGATGAAAGTGTAGCTGTAGATGATGTAGGCAAGAGGGAAAAGATATACCCATACTGAATATATGTAGAGATAACTCCTGGAGAGTTCAGTCTCGGTCAGGTAGTCAGTACCACATGCAAGCATGTTCCCTTCAGGCACGTAGCGGTTCCATCCGAAGAAGGGAGGAAGGCACCAAGCAAGAGTGAAAGCCCAAGTGCCACCAATCCTCAACATGGCTCCACCAGATGTGAGAGGTTCAGCAGACACTCCCTTGACGATGACGTTGTATCGGTCAGCAGTGATGAAGACCATAGACCA